ATTCAACTGTAAACCTAAAAATTTACAGCCAATTTTGAAAGAGATGCATCTTAGCTCAGGAAATTGTTATTGAATATGTTAATGCTGTTGTAATGAAATGCTTCTTCTAAGTATGTGGTTATTAAATAAATAATTTTAAAAATCTTCACATTAAAAAAAAAAAGATAAAAGAGTAAGGCACGCATTGAAACCTGCCTCCAGGATGTTGGAGATTTCCAGAAGGACAATAAGATGTCCTCTGAGAAAGCTTCAATATGGTGTGAAACCAGCCTCAGACAGAGGAGACTGTGTGCGTTCTAGGCAGCAGAGCTGGAGGGGTGCAACTATGTAAGCCTGTGGAGCAGAGAGGGTTTCATCATGCACTCCAGATACTGGATAGCAAGCTGATGGATTTTCTGCCTGGAGCGCCACCAGACTGCAGCCTTGATCTGCTCTGATCATTCCTTGCTATGCTTTGCTTTTCTCTTTTACAGTCATGCTGTTTACTCTGTGCCATGGTATATCAGGATGATGCATCTTGTTCGTTTTTAAAACCTCACAGTTACTAGATTGCCGAGAGATTCATAACGGATGTTCTATACTTCTGAACAACGCTGGATATTCAAGACTACGGAAGACTGGAGTCTCAAGGATAGGCTGAACACATTTTACAGTATAAGATGGCTTTGGTATGTGGAGGAAAATTGGTGAAAAGTTACGGCTTAAAAGTGGAATGGTTCTTTGTCAAGTTGACAGGGATTAGAGTTTTGAAGCTTAATAATGATTAATTACTTGACAGGATCTATATTTACCGAAGAGAGAAACTTCTGGGCGTTCCTTGGAGTGAGATTTTAGATTATGTTAGCTGCAGAAGGCTCAACCCTACTCGTGGGCAGCACGGTTTCACTGACTGGAGTCCAGGAGTGAGGGAGGAGCCGGCACGTGGAGGACAGCAGTCCTTACCTGCTTCCTGTGAGTGCAATGTGAATGGCCTCCTTACCTTAGCCACTGCCATGAAATGTACGTCCTCATAACGGACAGCAAGAGACGTGCTTCCTCCTCAAAGGCTTTTGTTAGGAACATGATCACAGAAGTAAGAAAAATCGCTGATAAACTGCATTTCCCCGTTAGTCTTCTTGAGCTGGGGCACTTCCCTGGATGGTGGAGCTGGCTAAGTTGGATCACCTTACACTCATGGACTGACTCAAGGAAAATGATGGGCAAGATTCTTCCTCATCTGCAGAACTCTGCCATCCCAGATTGCTCCCTGTATCTGGTTCCAGGCTGGCCTAGTGGCCATGGCCTCTTCGACAGTCACACTGGTCTGCTGACATCATCGAGGGCTGTGTGAACAGTCTACCCCAAGTCTCTCATTTCACACGAATACACAAGCTCAGTTTACCTTTCCCTCTCTGAGGTGATACTCTGCACTGTGGGTCCAGCCTGTGTCCTATCAGCACAGTCACCCTTAGCAGAGTTTCCTGCTCTGGGAAGTGCATACCATGTTATGTCCACAGTGGGGATGGCTGCTGCCTCCAGATCCATGTGCTGCTGTTCACTGTCCCCTCTCTGTATTTCAGGAATTCCCATGAATTAATGATCACGTGGGCTGTGGCATTCACCAAAGTAAAGAGATGCTGCATGTTACTATGGGATCAGCAGATCAATCACTTGAGAGTGTTTCTCCTGTTGGCCTGCATGAACCTCACAGGCACCATGGACATTCCTTTAAGGAACTGTCTGGGATGATCCCCACCCAACAAAATCTCCTTCCACAGCAGTAACTGCAGGGCCAACACCTCCTCCTCATCCCCTCTTCGGTGAACGTCCTGGAGACACTGACGTCTGTCAGATACCTGTGACTGTCAGACTTTCCCTAGAGAGTGCATTGAAGCCCTCCCAAATCTCCCCAAACTATAATGATCCTCTTTCTAGAGTTTTCCCTTACTCATCCCATCTCAGTTTGCTGTAGCACTTTATAAATCCAAAGTGTATAGAACTCACAGCCACTCAGGTGCCCCGAAGCCGGCAGGAGAGGGGTATTCAAGGT